TTTACACATTTGTTCCAAAGTAAGTCATATGGGTCAACTGAAGACAGAACTATTCTGGTAAAGATAAAACCTTACTAAGCCAACTTAGCCTGCATTCACACCTAGGCGTCAGCGCCATTTCACCTACCGCATTATGCTCGGTTTTTATGTGTGTTAAACGCGCAAACATGAAGACGTGCATCGCAGCTGGCAGATCAAAGACATTGTGTTCAATGGAGAAACACGCGTAAAAACTTGCACGAAAATATGCAAACCGCTTGTGTTGCACGTTTTTCAGACTTTTCCATTGAAGTCTATGGGGCCAAACGCACTGCAAAACGCCCCAAAGAAGCTCAGGAACTTTTTTGAGCGACAAGCATTTTACAGCTTGCAACAAAACAACCTGGGTGTGAATGGGGGCCATTGGTATTAATAGGAATTTATGTGCTGAGCATTGTGTCGCGACTCCAAATTGCTCCAAAAAAGACACAATGCAATTTAACGCAAACTTGACAATGAAAGTGAACTATGTAATTCTGTAAGCAATGCAATAATGTAACAAAACGTTGTTTCAAATATGCAATTTGCCAGACATATGAAAGTAGTATTCTCCTGTGCTCACGGCTATGTAACTCTCACCCCACATGCTGTAGCTCCAGCACATGGGTGTAAATCACAGGTTTTTAACCAGCAGGGGTCACATTGCATAGGCTGGTGAGGTACTTCTGCTTGTTAAAGTAAATTTATCATAACAGTACTGAAGTAAAACATATAATAATGTGTATATAATACACCTTTCAAGATATTCTATTTAAGATATAAAAAGTCATTGTTTGGAAAGCATTTACACACAATTATGGAGTACTCTTCATACAACTACATATGTAAAGAGGTAACTAATGCTGACTTTAACCACTTGTTGTCCTCCCGTTGCACACTCTCAAGGGCAAGATAACCTTTTTAAATGTGTTTGTGTATGGGGTCAGTAAACTGTATGGAGGATAGTAATGGAGACAGGGACAATTGAGGGGTTGGGCACAGTGGGAAGGTCTTGGCAGACCCTGGCCCCCCTTGATAACCCGATGGGGCCTGGAACTGGTATGGATGGACTGCCTTCATCCTCCTTATACAGTAGGTGGCTCTTACTGTAAGTACCTAGTTTTGACGTGGTATCAGCCTCTTGCATTCTCTGTACAACATACCTTAGACTGGGGGTGGGAGAAGCAGCAAAAGGAGCTAATCAGTTGTGTTGCAGCTCAAGGAGCATGCTGAGAGAAGAGAGCAGAGTGACTGAGAGATGAGCTTGCCATCATGCTGCTTCTCCTTTCACTGTCCAATTATTAAGCTTTAACAGAAGTACTGCAGCCCTGGGCAACTATCTCGCCAAACATGAAAGGCTCACGGCAGTAAATGTAAACACATTACTGAAGATGTTTAGCGTTTTATCTCAAGTTATTCGCAGATTTTTCAGAAAAAGAATAAGACAAATGGCGTGAGATGAGAAAGACCCAAGTGTACACAGGCATAGAATGGTTGCTATGGAGAAAATACATTTGCAGGTAAATTAATGTAGATATTGTTGTAGTTTTTTCATAAATCATAGCAGACTGAAACAAAAGCATCATTTTAATAATATCAAAGTTTGTGTAAAGACAAAACTTTTTTTGTGGAGAGTTAGACCCTCTGTCAAGTTTTAATTGTTCTCTGTGCACCTACTGGGAAAATTGACGCACTGTCGCATCCCTGGGGCAGAAAGTAAAGGAAAATGGGGAGCAGGAAGTAGACCGCAAAGATTAAAAATAAAAAAAAACTTGGCATGGTTTATAATCTTTCTCTATTCTATATAAAAAGGTTTTGGCTTAGGTACACCCTAAATTATGAAATGACACACCGATCAGCCATAACATTATGACCACCTGCCTAAGATTGAGAAGGTCTCCCTTTTGCCAACAAAACAGCCCTGACCGGTCGAGGCATTGACGCCACTAGACCTCTGAAGGTGTGCTGTGGTATCCAAGCCGTCAGTAGCAGATCCTTTAAGTCCAGTAAGTTGCAAGGTGGGGATCTCCATGGATCGAACTTGTTTTTCCACCATGCCCCATGGATGTTTGATTGGATTGAGATCTGGAGAATTTGGAGGCCAAGTCAACACCTCAAACTCAACGTCGTTGTTCCTCAAACCATTCTTGAACAATTTTTGCAAGAGAGAGAGAGAGAGAGAATATATAATTATTTTGTTCCACTAGGTGGTGCTTCATAATAAAAATGAAATGATGTGGTAATCTAAATGAGAGTTGGTTTGATGTTATTCTTTTCTACAGTGCTGACATACTCTGCAATGACATAACACTAAAAAACATGTTGTGCTATGCATTTATCAATGTATATGTTTTATAAGGTTGTTTATTGCTCATGGAGTAATTCCAGGGTGAACGTCCACTTTAATAATCATGGAAAGCCACCTGATGATGACCAGACGCAGGCAGTCACCAGGGCCCATAGACATTAGATGACAGTCTTCTGATCCAGACATTTCTGGTCAGATTAGACTTGATTTATAATAAATAGATAGTGGATGTAGGATCATGGACTGATAATGAGTATTATGGAGTAGCAAGCACTGGAACATTTTTTGTCATCCTAATATAAAATCCATTACAAAATCATCAATCAACCAAGAATATTTATCAAGATGTTTTCATTGTCTATGGTGCTTCTCAACTCTGTTAGATTTTCTATTCCCTTATACAATCCAGCGATCACAAAGCTCTCATAAAGTACCCCGATACATAAATATTTAACAGCAGAACCTCCTGTGTATAAATATATTCTAAATAAAAATGCATTGTTTTAAATAACTAAAAAAAACGTAATTTGTATGTGATTAATCACGGATGAATACACTACACCACCGTAATGAATTTAGAGCAATGTTTCCCAACCTTTTTGCAGTCAGGGCACCCAAAAGTATGCAAAATCTCGAGGCACTCCAGCCTAAAATGTAACAAATGTAAATGTAAATTTGTTATAAACGAAGTGTAGACTTGTCCCAGCTATGGGTCCAGTATGGATTTTTAGGGGAACCCCTTGCAAAAACACAAAAAAGTGGGGTTTCCCCCTTTACATCAGAGTCCCCCCTACAAATCAGGAGCCCCCCCCCTTAACATCAGGAACCCTTTTTTTATATTAGGGGACCCCTTCACATCAGGGCCCCCTCCTTTCATATTGGTCTTTTCACTTCACATCAGGAACCCTCTTTTTATATCAGGAGATCCCTTCACATCAGGACCCCCTCCTTTCACATGAGAGTCCCTTCACCACTCACACCAGGA